ACAGCCAAATTTCTTTTTTATTTAGCCCCGGTCATTAGCTTCTGACTACTGAAAACTTTCTGTCCTTCAGTCCTTTTCATTTTTCCAACTAACTCGACACCTTATATAGTCCAGAAATAGGCTCCAAATTCAACTTTTAATTTGCGAGGAAGTCACCCTCCTCATTGATTTAAAAATTGAATGCCTTTTGGAAATTTGAAATACAAATTTTTCACAAATAACAAACCGACTGGCTTATGTTGGTGGCTTTCGTTCAAGCTGGAAATTTTGAAAAACAAATATTACATATCAAATTTCTCAGTTATTTTTTACTAAGTGTCACGCTTTCTTTTCATTATTTTAACCACTCCTCTTAAAAATAAGTATAACACACCTAGACTGTTATAATATTTATTTTTTAAATTTTCTTTAGTAATCATTCCTTATATATATATATATATATATATATATATATATATATATATATATATAATAAAATATATAATATAATAAAATAGGGTTTTAAGTTTAAAGTGCTTTATATATATATATATATACGCACACACATATAGAGATATATGAGTGTATGTGCGTGCATGTGTTTGTACACTGAAATTTATATATATTTATTATATAAAATTTATGAAATAGCAGATATTTTATATATAGTGCTCAATATTAAAAATATTAAAATAATAATAAAATAGATCATTAATGATATTATATGAAAAGATTACTTTTATATATTAGTTTTATCGCGACATGTCGGGATAAAAACTGATATCTAAAAAATTAAATAATTGTTTCATATAATGTATTCATTATATAATATAATATATATATATATATATATATATATATATATATATATATATATATATATATATATGTGTGTGTGTGTATATATATATATATATATATGTATATATATATATATAATTATTTATTTAAAAATATGATTCCAACGCTACATAAGAGTTCTTTGTATCGAGCACTATTTTTTAAAAATAATAACAAAAAATACTAAAGAACTTTGGATTATTTACCTAACGAGTTCTTTCCTATTTTCTATATTTTTTACACACACACACACATATATATATATTATATATTTTATTATATATATATATGTGTGTGTTTATATATATATATTATATATATATTATATTTTTATTATATATATATATATATCTTATATATATATATATATATATATATATATATATATATATATATATATATATATATATATTGTGTGTGTACCGAGCGATACCTAGAGAGAGAGAGAGATATTCAGAAATTAAGGCGTAACTCACCTCAATTATTGACAAGTTTATTTCCATAATCAGTGTTGATTTAGAATACTTTATTATTCAACAATTTCAATCAAATGCAATTATTTATTTTAATTATGGACATCTTGACAACGTTCGAGAATTTAGCTTTTACTCACAAACGCGTTACTTACTGATGGCAGTAGAATGTCGGCCTGAATATGAATTGTGATGAAAACCGATTAAAATCGAGATGAAAGAAATCATTGTCAAAAATGAATGATGTACGACACACTATATATCTTTAATGACCGTCTATTGATTGTTAATCTGACTTTTGTGGGAGTCCGTTGAAGTGAAGAAAATTTAAATCGACATCAGATACATAAAATGATAACAACGGCAGCGACAGCAGCTCGAAATAGCGTTCGGAGGTCACGTTATGTTTGTAGGTTGCCTTGAAAAGACAGAAATAGTGGCAACGAACGCACTCACCGCTTTTAGGAACAGCTCTGATTCGCTGAACCGAGCCGACTCGTGTGTCAACCTCGCAAAATTCGCTTTAAGTGTGCAGTGACGCCAGAGTTATCGATTTAATACCGTTTCTTTGCCGATAGATGGCAATTTAGTTTCAGGTTTTCTTTTGAATACATATTTCTCTTTTCAGTAAAAAGCCACCCCCCACACAGTCAAACACACATACTCACACACACTCACTTTCCTCTCTCACAGACATGTCTTCTTAATTATTTCACCCCAAGCAAGACAGTAAAGCCACTAATGCACTATGTGTTACGGAGTGTGAAAGAATAAGAAAAAGACAAACATTATTAAGGAGCGAGAACAATAAAAGATGAATTAAGAAGTTAATAGATAACGATTGACATTGCATTTAAATTTTTGAAGATCAAAGTTGGCTGGAAAGCAAGAAGCCGGAAAAGTGTTCCACAAGCAAGACGTGCGGGAGAAGAAACTGTTAACATAGAACTTACGGTTACATCTAGCCAAATCGACTGCAAATTGATGAAATCTTGTTGCCAAATGTTAGATACACATATACACGAGTTTTAATTTGAAATTTTCACTGTATAATGTTCAATCGCTCTAATTAATATACATAACGAATTATGTGCATTGACAAAAAGGAGAGTATATTGAAAAATAAATGCCTTTTTTATGATTGCGATACATATTTATTGATGTACGCACGTAATACACATATGTGTGCATAGATTATGATATATATATATATATATGTGTGTGTGTGTGTGTGTGTTGGTTGTTTAAGTGTAGCTTAGATGTGGCATAAGACCGAAAGTATGGGGCACACATCGAGAATCGAACTCACTATTCAGTCATAATTGATCTAGCAAGACAAGCTTGCCAACCATTAGACCACGTCGAAGTGCCCGAATGATTTTCGAAGCGTAGTTTAGATATAGCGCAAGGCCGAATGTATGGTGAACCCAGTGGGGGATCGAACGCACTATTCAGTCGTAATGGATCTAGCGAGACACGCTTTCTAACAATTACACCACGTCAAAGTGTCCAAAGTGTGTGCGTGTCTGTTTGGACTATGATGCATAAAATAGAATTGTTATATTATGAAATTCTGTCAAATACAATACATATAAAATTCATTTCATTATATTTCTTATTAATTCTATCTCTCGATAGCCATCACTATAAAAATGAATGACTGCATACCTTAAAAATATTTTCTTCTAGAATTCTCCTTGGCGACCATTTTTGGTACAATACAATCTTTATTATTGTAGTTATGTAGATGATTTACGTACGCGCGCGCACACACACAGACACGCGCACACACAGACACGCGCGTACGCTGACACGCACACACACATATATAACTTTTATGCAAACACATACACACGCACATGTGTGTGTACGTATACACAAGCACACATGCACATACACACATATTAATATATGATATTTATGCACGCACGCACATACATGCGCACGCACATATATGACATTTATGCACAGACACACATGATCACATGTATATATATGTGTGTGTGTGCTTTTGTGTGTGTGTCTATGTGTGTGTGTGTGTGTGCGCGCATAAATATGCGTATGTGGTGTAATGGGTAGAGGTTTAGAACGGAAATCGGCGGCCCCGAGTTCGAATACCATCCCAGTTCGTTGCATTAACTTTTGTGCAAATACCCCTGTGAAAGGTGAGAATCCATCTCTTCTACCCACCCAGCTATGGCTTAAATAGCAGAGCAGACTGTTCTCTCTAGTCATGGTTGGCATCCGGTCTATGAGAAAGACAACTTTGAATTCAAAGCTGAATATATCCCTTGCGTAACATATAGCACGAAATCTATATTATTATATAATTATGTGAATGTAATTGTTTTAAATTTGTTAGGAAAATGCTCAATATTGCGTATAGAGCATATGTATATAGAAAGAGTGTAGTTATAGAAAGGAGTGTTTTTGTGTGTCTGAATAATTTCATTTTTAAATATCTTTATCCTGATTTTCTTTAGAAGCAAAACGTCTTACAATAGACACATTTTCATGCGGATATAAAAAGAAAATGGCAGTCAACTGCACAATATGACTGGCGTCTGGCTGGAGTGGGTATGTTATGACAGATGAAAAAATGTAAATAAAAAAGATATCTTCACACAACGGTAAATATAGATGAGATAGATATGAAATATCTAGGACGGCAGGAAGAGTCTTGTAAGTGATCTACGAAATTCGCATAGTGGTGGTGGGGGGGGAGAGAGAAGGTAAGAAGAAGAAAAGGAGTATGAGAAAAAGTAAGAAAGCGAAAGATTATGAGAGAAGAAAATGTATTATAGAAAAGAGAGTGTGAGTGTAGGATAGAAATGAGAAAAAGTAGGAGAGTAAGAAATGTATGATATGAGAGAGAAAAAGAGGAAGAGAGAGGGAGAGAGAGAGAGGGGGGGACATAGACACGCACACACATACACACAGAGGAAGATTACTAGGTATGCGATAAATGGTGTAAAATGGTAAACAGGGAGTAGAAGAGGAGAGAAAGTGACTGAAAGATATAGTGAAAGGGATGAGAGAGAGAGATAGAGAGAGAGAGATAGCGAGAGAGATAGAGAGAGAAAGGCTAAGAGAAATATTTAATAAAAAATAACGAGACAGGAAGAGAGAGAGAGAGAGACAGAGACAGAGACAGAGACAGAGACAGAGAGAGAATAGAAAAGAAATGAGGAGAAAGAGTAGGAAAGTGAGAAATGTATTATATGAGAGAGAGGAGGGAATAAAGAAAGAGAGAGAAAAAGAGGGAACGAATAGTATAGAGAAGAGAAAGAGTAGGAGAGTAAGACATATATGAGAAAAAGAAAAAAAGAGAGTGTGAGAACAAATGAGAAAGAATAGGAGAGAAAGAAATGTATATAAAGAGAAGAAAGAAAGTGAATGAATAGTACAGAAATAGGAAAGAGAAGGAAAGTAAGAAATATATGAGAGACAGATTTTGGTTGGTTGTTTTTGGTTAGCGGCATATCAACCTCTGTGAGTTATTTAATAACGAAATCTAAACATTTTTGTACACTATTTTATTTTTGGAGATAATAATAGTTTAGTGACACAAGTCTCACTAATTAACCCATAGATGGGAGAGAAGGGATGAATTCATACCTTTCCCAAAAGTATTTGTACGTAAGTGAATATAACGAACCGGATGAATAATTCCGAGTCATTATCCGTTACACAGCCCACACATCCAAGCTTACAACACCTAGTATTCCCAGGCGGTTACCCATCTGGGTATTGATCACGCTCGACGTTGCTTAACTTCGGGGATCGTACGGGAATCGGTGTTTCGACGTGATCCGGCCGTAAGCATGAGAGAGAGAGAGAGAGAGAGAGAGAGAGAGAGAGAGAGAAGGGGGAGAGAACAGAAGAAAGTAAACGGAGATTCGATCAGGAAGCAAAAATCGAATGTTGATTATTATCTCCGGGTAAGTTTTTCGCACTTACTTTCATCCTGTCGTAAAAAGCCAGAGAGCGCATATTTTTCCTGATAAGATCACGTTAAACAACGTCTATCCTGGACTGTATCTAGACGGGTGATCGCTTGGGAGTACCAGGTGCTGTAAGCTTGGATTTGCGGCTGGCCTAATGGATACTTACTCGGAATTGTTAATCGTAGAGCCGAGTTAAATTCCAGCCGTGTTCGTTATATTTACGCGCAAATATCGTTAGGAAAGGTATGAATTCAGCATTTCTCCTCCAACTATGGGTTAATTGGTAATACTTATATCCCTAAACCATTATTAACTACAAAACTAAAATAGAATTGTGTTCAAAATATTTAGATTTCGGCATTTAATAATCCATAGAAGTTGATATGCCACTAAACAAAAGCAAACAACCAACCAATTGAGATAATGTCTGAGACTGCAGACCTAGTGTGACACTGAGGCGGTGAAGTGTCTAAACATTAATTCTAAGCATGAAAAGTGAAGGGTTAATGCAAAATGAAATATAAGCTGGAATATATATATATATATATATATATATATATATATATATATATATATATATATAGAGAGAGAGAGAGAGAGAGAGAGAGAGAGAGGGGTAGAGAGAGTGGAGGCATTTTCCTTGGTGAGAATGGGACGTCTGGATTTTTTTCTCTCCTAAAAGTTTATTTTTCTTATCTATCGAGAGATTGACATGCAGACAAAAACAGGTTCGGAGAAATGGCTTTCTTTCTTTCTTGAGAAATTAGTGGAACATATTTTTCGTTGACGAAAACGGAAACACAGAATGAACCCTTTTTTCTTAGGATTGAGTTATGAAAATCAATCATGTCATGCCAAGAAGGTGATCTGGTTTGAGTTTTCGCTTAGACGCCCACGTTGATGGAAAACAGGGATGGTAAACTGAGAATTTAGATAAACAAGCATATTTTCGTTGACAAAAGCAGATTGGGAAATAATTTTTATCTATCACTCGGAAGGTTAAAATGAGAATGAATTTCTCTAAACGGATCGGATGTAATGTAAGATTAAGGCTGGAGTTATGAAAATAAATTCTGTCATCGGCAGTCTGGTTTGTAATTTCGCTGGACAGAGACAGTTCCAGGAAAATAGAAAATATTCGGAAAATTAAAATTAATGGCTGGAATGGAACTCCGCCATTACACATACGCGCTTTAAAAATTAGATTTGTCACAAAGAAAGTTATGCATGCCCTCAGAAGTGGGCTGGGGTTGAATGCCAAGTATAAAAGATAAAGAGGCACAATATGGCCCCGCCTGTGCGAAGTAGCAGTGCGAGTTGTGAAGTAAAGCAGGTTGGAGTTAAGTAGAAATAACTACTCCCAAAGAAGGTGGATAATTCTCCAAATTTTGAAAATTGATTAAAAAACAGAAACAGGGAACAAAGAAAACCTTTATTTGAATTAATGAAAATTGGGGAATCACCAAATTCCCAGAATCCTTCGGCCCCACACCAATTTTGAGCCGAAGTGCATATAAGCAGATTCCAAGATTTTGAACCCAGCCTTCAAGAAGTTCAGACAAAGCCCAGTGTCACTAGAGAGATTGATTTGGGAAGGGTTAATTTTTGTTATATCAAGAGCTATATAAACGTACTGGAGATTAACCCCACGCATATCTCGTTTTATTTATTTTCGTCGTGAAGATTTTTCCTAATATAACACTCGCCACGGTTTGACCTACGCTGCGAGACTACGACGACATTCAATCTTCTACTGCCCTTGCGATCGAGTACACAACGTGGGTAGAGATGGCGTAGATCAAAGCGGCCAGCGACAAGCTACCAGTAACCAGCTTGGACCAGCGTCAGCATTGACGAGTGCAGAATTAGCTCATGGTTAAAGCGCCGTCTTAAGACCCTGAAGACTGGACCACCGGGTGTAGGTGGCAACGAAAAGTATTACTTTATTTGGTGCCAATGGCCAATGATGTGACCCTGTTGCAAGGGGGTGTTACAGTGATCCAGCCTCATATATTCAGTTGAAAATGTATCTGCTTGTAAATAGGTTTCTATGTACAGGAAAGTACGCAGTCATATATATATATATATATATATATTGTGTGTATTTAGGCAGCATATTTTCATTTATACACATTTCATTAAATAATATAGACAAGTGTTGTCTATTTATTTTATGTAAATTCTTTTCGTAACATCTGATAAGTTTAATAACATTATCGTTGAACGAAGAAAGAAATTCACAATATTGATCCTATTTTTTTAATATAATCTAAGCTTTCGGCTTACATAAGCCATTATCAAAGATGTCAATTACAACATATTAAACAATATACGGACAAGACAGTGATGATAGTCTGTCATTGTTTATCGTTGCTTAGAAATCAATATATATATATATTATGTATTTGAGCAGTAACTGCTCTTCTATACAACTTTCATTAAAGATGACTGACAAGGTAATGCTATTATGCATTTTATTTAATTTTTCTTGTGTTCGTAGAAGTGTTTTCTTTTCTGGTCACAAAGTGTGTAAAAATCGTCCAAAAGTTCTACATATCGTAGCACTTGTGTCTATTCTTTTAGCCACTATCAAGGTCGATTTTTTTATTTTTTAAAATTTTAAATTGAATGTTTATTTTTTATGTATGTGCCTAAAGTTAAAGGAATCTTTTTATTTTCCAAACACGGTCAGTACATTGTGGACGTTTTCATAGTTAAATTTATTGAATGTTGGCTTTTTCTTTTTTATTATTAATGCTTCTATTATTTTAAATCTTTTTTTTACATGTGGATCAGGCTGTTATACTTGTATTTTCTACTAGTATGTTGAAGATGGAATTTGGTAGATTTCCGTGTGTTTTAATTTAGTGTTCAGTCCTAATTGAGCAATGGTCAGGTAGGTGTAACGTGAGTCATCTTGATAAGCATATAGTGGTATGACCAATATAATTATTTATGAATTTAGTTTGATCAGGAACACAGTTAAATTATCTACTACAAAAAAATTAAACAGCTAACCTTATCATCAACAATAACAGCACACCTGCAACATCAAAATTACAGAGAACCTATATTATTTACGAATTCAAATGTCCCTTGAGGAATTGTGTTCCTGATCAAACCAAACTCATAACTGCAAAGTCGATATAAGTAAACGACAAAAAGAAAACTTTTCTTTATCAACGCGTTTTTTTCCGTTGAGGAACGTTATCAAAGTAAATGTGGGGATTTTATTTTGTACCTTCTATTTATAGACAGGAGTAAATTGGAGAAAAAATATCGTTAAGTTTTCAAATTTTGAATTTGAGAACGCTCTAATATATTCTTAAATCTGGCTGTGTAATGAAAAGTAACTACGGAAGACGCTAAGTGAAAGAAAAGTACTGATCAGTAGCTAGATGAGTGATCGCTTGGAAATTAGTGGTGCTGTAAATTTGGATAAAGGTTCGAAATAGGAAATCGCAGGGCAGCGTTCGTATTCCTGTCGAGATCATTAGATTCACAAAGGCGATTCATACCTTTAAAGGCATGAATCCATGTTTTTTCCCCCAGCTCTATAACCTTGTTTGGCAAGCGATCGAGGAGAAGGAAACATCTGAATCCAAACGAGTCCGGAGAAGCTTGGCCAAAAACGAATGAGCTTCTTATAGGAGCCAAAGGCCAGCATTGAAAACTCCTATCCCCAAAAGCCTGTGACTGTAGAATCTTCTGACATGTGCCACACATATACCGCATTGTTATGTTTGACAGCTATATATATATATATATATATATATATATATAGTTTTCAAAATATATATAACACTTTAAAAGTTATTATTAGTGGATGCTGGTATTTTTGAAGACGCTCCATTTAATAGTATATTTATTTTCGTCTGCCGGCCTGAATACCATGTTTAATCGACGAAGAACTTTTTGTCCGAGTAGCTTATAAGCACGTCGGATCTACCGACGGTTTTTCCTGCAAAGGGGCACGCAGGTTTGAATCATGTCGGATGTCACATCTTTTTCATTAATGAGATTTCTGGAATATATACATGCATATATATATATATATATATATATATATATATATATATATATATATATATATATATATGTTTTTCGAAGAATTTCTAAAGAAAATTTTTCCACTTTGAAACTAATTTAACATTTTTTTCCACTTTGATGCCAATTTTTCTAATATATATATATATATATATTAATGGATCTACACTTAACATTACTTGCTTCGAAAACTAGTCAGAGCATTTTGATTGTGTTTTGAACATCAAACGAAAGCCAATAATAGGAATTAAATTAATACGACTCTCACACAACACAGTATAAGAAAATAAAAACAGATAACAAAAAACATAATATACTAACAATGAAAATTACATCGCAACTCTTCAAAATGTCTAAAATATTGGCCGAAAGCTCTTGGGACTATAATCACTAAGAACTATTTCTACACTCTCTTAGTCCTCATAAAATCAAAAATTTAAGAACACCAGGAGAATTGAATAAAAAAAAAAAAAAATTACAAAATATTCCTTGTCTGTCGTATTCAGTGAAGCGCGCGCTCACACAAACACGCACACACACGCACGAACGAACACACACACACACATATATATATATATATATATAAGAATAAAGACAAAAAGACTTGTATTAGCCGTCGCGTTTCATCTTCTGAAGGATTTTACCAAGGCAAATGTAAAGATTTTATTTTGTGACAAGTATTTATATTCAAGAGCAAAATATTAATGTTTTTTTTTTCAAAATTTTTAGCATAGGAGTGCTTATGAATATTCATTATGTTAACTGAAAAGTCAGACAAGTTCATAAACTGTAATACTGTTTTGTGAATATCAATAATTTTTATGCCC